TTGGAGGGTAAATCACAAATCGATTCCTCACCAAAACTTCTACCGCCTAGGAGTCTCCAACCTTCAAAAGTAACAAGATCGAATGGGAGCACATTTTTTTCTAGAATTTGCACAAGTGTACATATCATCCATTAATAGAAGAAGTGGGTGAAGAGATCCTCCACCGCGGCTTGCATCGTTTGAAACTTACATCTCACCGCTTGTAGTTACAACCCTGCCGTGGCAGTCTTCACCTAGATAACCTAGCTTACTACTCGCCACTTGCCCGCCTTGATAGCATACCAAAGAAAGAATCGAGGTCCCTCGTGAGAAGCCCATCCATCTTCCAAGTTCTTCCTTCACGGCTGATGCTCAGAAGTACCTCTCGAGTGGAGGTGGTAGCTCCTTCAAAAACCACATCATTTCTATATTTCCACAGCTCCCAAAGACCCAATGTGATGATGGACTTGAGATCATTGGGCGAGCAGTTGCTGCAAGTCTTTGATGTGCACCCGTTCGAGAATGGGAACACTCGGAACTTGCTCAAATCATGAAAAACGTAAGTCAAAACAGAGAGGATGTGCGGATCCATGCTTGTATGCAATCCCTCAAGTAATCTTAGGATTTTAATTGTTTATCTTCATAAAATATATTCCTTGTACATTGAACCTTTTTATCTTAAAAGAATCTTTTTTTAGGGTTAAGTTTTCTCTTTTGGGAACCAACCGAACGAGAGGCGAATATTTTGGCCATGTATGTTACTATGTGCTAAAGGCACACACATGCACATGAGCCATTCACCCCCGGCACAACAAAGAGGCCGCACAAAACCCTCCTCTCTGATTCTCCAAAGCGGCGGCGCGGTGGGCATGGACGGTGTCGGTATGGCGACACCGCCGGAGGCCAACACTTCGCCCGCGCCCAACGGCGGCGGCTGCGGCGGGATCAGTAAGTTCGCCCAAGATCCCCTTCTCCCTCCCCTCCCCCTCCGGCCCTCCCTCTCCCCTTCTGTCCTTCCCCTGCTGTGCTATTTTCGAGCGTCGGTTCCGGATCCTAGGTTATCTTGTTTCTTGGGCGCCCCAACTTGCTGCTACTACATGTCTTATCAGAACTTGTTGTAGGATGCTAGCATAGAATTTCCCCCGAGATAAAATCCCAAATTTCATCTCCAACATTGCAACGATGTGGTTTCCTGAGCCGTGGTGCGCTTGATTTTCGCGCAGGGGTCGAGAATTGCTACGTCTTCAAGAGCAGGCTGCAGGAGTACGCGCAGAAAGCCGGCCTCATGACGCCGGAGTACCAAACCCTCAAGGAGGGGCCTTCCCATGAGCCAATCTTCAAGTCCAGCGTGGTGATTAACAACGTCAAGTACGACTCGCTACCCGGGTTCTTCAGCCGCAAGGCTGCAGAGCAGTCGGCCGCCGAAGTTGCGCTCATGGAAATCGGCAAGTCTGTGGCGTTACCAACCAATGCAACCATCCCGGCAGTCGTAAGTTGTTGATTGTTTTTTCTTTCTCAAGTCTGGCTGTGCTTATGTGAAATGATTAGAAAGAATATTGTGGGTAGCATATGGTTAGAAATAATTTTGTGTTTAATGTACTCCCTCCGTTCCTAAATATTTGTCTTTCTAGACATTTCAAATGACTACTACATATGGATGTATGTAGACATATTTTAGAGTGTAGATTCACTCATTTTGCTTCGTATGTAGTCACTTGTTGAAATGCCTAGAAAGACAAGTATTTAGGAACGGAGGGAGTAGAAGCTAGTAAGAGGGTGGATGACAATCTATCTTTCTATTCTTTGGTGGTGCTTGGGAAGAACTAACCATCTGGCCCTCTTCAATCATGTAGTGGAAAAATCACCATTTGTGCTGCTGCCTACAGCATTTACATGCTTCCTTATTCCTAAGTATGAGAAACATGCTTCATGGTCCAGTTGTGACGATGCACAGATTGTTTCGACTATATGAATGCCATTATCTTTTGTGTTCCTTGTAGTTAGTCTTTGAATAGTGCCTACAATTTTAGCCATAGTATCTTAAGGTGCATCAGAAAGCTCTTATTTATTTCATTACTTTGCCACATTTAACATATCATTTACTCTCATTTGTTTGTGTTTATTTCTGAAGGAAATTGTTCGTATTTATCCAAGCTCCTCATTCTGCTAGTATCTTTGCTAAACGTAGGATTCAGTTAGTAATGAAGATGCACAACTTCTTTTGCCTCGGTTTCTGAACCATGAACCACGCAATAGGGACCTTTCCGTCCTTGAGAGAAAAATGCATACCTCACAGTACAAGTACTAAATTTTTGATATCATGTCTAAAACCATGCTTTATAGGATTGAGTGTGCTTAATTCGTAGGAGGATGACTGAATTAGAATAATAACAATCTAGTCTCTTTCCTGCTGTGCTTTCTTGACACATCTTACCTTGCTTTCCAGCAAGAAACTGGTCTGTGCAAGAATCTTCTTCAGGAGTATGCTCAGAAGATGAATTATGCTATTCCATCTTATACTTGCAACAAACAAGGTCCATACATATGCACCGTAGAGATTGGTGGAATACAATACATTGGTGCTACAGCACGGACAAAGAAAGAGGCAGAGATAAAAGCTGCCCGAACTGCTCTTCTTGCAATCCAAGGTATTCTTTTCATTTGCTCATTTTGTCCTGATTATTCACTTTTGAAATTGTACCGTTCTCATCCTTTGGGTATTGAGGTTGGACATTGAATCATCCACGGGCTTTATTAGTTGCAGGCCAATCAGAGGGTTGTGCAAATGGTACCACAAAATATATTGTTGTGCCTGGCAAAAGGCAAGGTAAGGAGATCGAGAAAAAGCCTGTTGAAACTCCAAAATCACTTAAGACCAAGAAAGGTGGTTTCAAGAAGCAACGGAACAAGAATAAATTCATCAAGAAGAATGGCCAAGAAGTTAACGAGGAAAAGGATGAAACTGGAGTGCCCGGAGATGCTCATCATTCTGATGTCCCTGTGAAGCCAGCTGTAACAACAGAAGATCCATTGACCAACACTGTAATGATGCAACCTGATGAAGCTGGGCCATTCGAACATGAACCGACCGGTGACACTGCAATGCTGCAACCTGATGAAGACGCTTGGCCATCCGAACATGAACCGACCGGTCACACTGCAATGCTGCAACCTGATGGCGAAGCTACAAAAGTGGAACAGGAGCAACTCAGTGACACAGCAATGCTGCAACCTGATGATGAAGGTGGAAGAGTAGAACATGAGCCACTCAGCAACGCTCCAATGGTGCTACATAATGAGGAAGCTAGAAATGTAAAGCAGGAAGCACTCATCGGCACTGCAATGCCCCAACCTCACGTGGAAGATAGAAGAGTAGGAGCAGAGCCACCTAGAGATGCTGCAATGGTGCAACCTAATGATGAAGCTAGATGCGTAAAGCAGGAGCTACTAATTGACACTGCAATGCCTCTCCCCAATGAGGAGGCCGGAGCAGCTGCAAATCCTGTGCCATTGAGTGACTCCATAACAGCGCAACCTAATGCAGAGACTACAAATATAAATGAGTCACCGAGGAATGCAGCATCAGCGCAACATAATGAAGAAGCTAGGACCGTAAACCAGGAGCCACCCAGCAGTGCTTCGCTGCTGCAGCCAAAGGAACCCAGAGTCGAGATCGGTGAATTTGTTTCTGAAAACAAGGACCAAACTCTGGGAGATGCATCTCGTGAGGCAAATAGGTCCATCGAAGATATGCCAGAAAAGTGCTCAGATAATTCATCTGCTTTTACAAGCGTGGAATAATATTTGCTGTTTGAATCAAAATGCAATGGCCTTCCAATTTTACATCTTGATTTTGCAAACTAGTAAAACCTGAATAGCTGGTTTCTCATTTTAGAAATATAATTGCATAACAGATGGATGTACGTGGACCGACCGAGGTCGGTTGGTGGTCCATGTTGGCCATTAGTTATTAGGAAGCTTGCATGCCTGATGGTATGATCTTGGATCCATGGATGATGTATCTCAAGTTGCTTATCTGATCAATGAACTATTAGTGAACTATTATTAGTTAATAGTCGGTGTTTGTTATCAGCACATGTTATGCCTTCAATTCGAGCGTTAATGGCCAAAATAAATAGTAGCATGCCTAACTTATTTTCAGGTGTATTTGTTTCTTTTGTAACCATGTAACCAAATAAAAAGGGCAGCCCCAGTGCATGTAGCTCCCGCTTGCGCAGGGTCTGGGGAAGGGTCCGACATTTCTGTAAGAGGCTGTTTCCAGGACTTGAACCCGTGACCTCATGGTCACAAGGCAGCAGCTTTACCACTGCGCTAAGGCTCCCCTTCAACCATGTAACCAAATAATAAACAAAATTTTGCCAGATGCGTGGGAGACAATAGCAGGTCTTGCTGCAACTGACATAGCTATTCTGCTGTTAGTGCTAACTTAGCGTATACACAACACCCCTAAACCTCAATCCTGCTATACCCTTGCACCTTCCAGACTTGATTCTCAGACATCACCGTCCTAGCCACTTCTGCAGAATGCCACTCTCCAACATCAGCAAAGACATTCGAAAGCGATACGTAGGCGCCATCACTGCTCGGGGCCATCCTCATGATCTGCTCTGCTGCAAGCACGCCAAGTTCTTTGTTCCCGTGGACCCTACAACCGTTCATCAGGGACCTCCAAACCGCAGGCCATGGTTGGAAAGGCATTACGTCGATCACGCCTTTCGCCTCGCGAAGGAGCCCTTTCCGCGCCAGAAGATCAACCAGGGTAGCAAAGTTGGCCCTCGTTGGATTCATACCCTGACCTTCAGACATCATCAGATTGAACACAACCTTCCCCTCTTCAACTAGCCCAAAATGGCTGCACGCTGATACAATGGCAACAAAAGTAGCTGGGGTGGGGATCAATTGAGCCTGTGTCATATCTTGGTAGAGATTGAGGGCTTCGTTGATCCGGCCATGGTTGGCGTAAGCTGTCAGCATGGTGTTGTACAATATGGCATCGGCACTTACTGATGAAATAGTGGTAATGCACTCTCCGCAGCCGATATGTCACCGCACTTTGCGTACGCATCGACTAGAGCGCTCGCCACGCAGAAGTGCTTCCTGTGCCCCGTCCTGACAACAATTGAATGGATACATCTGGACTGCCGGATCAATGCAGCGTTCGCACAGGCATTCAGGGCTGTAGCTAGGATGAACTCGTCAGGTTTGTTCATTTGGTCACTTCTAAACAAGTCAAAAAGGAAAAGGACCTCATTGTTCAAGCCATGCTTGAGGAATGAAGTGATGATGACACCCCATGACACAAAATCCATCTCGCCAGTGTCCTCAATGACTTTCAGCGCATCCTGAACTGATCCAAACACTGCCTTTGCCTTGATCAGTGAAGTTGACACAAACTGCCGTGAAGCAACACCTTGTTTCAGAATAATTGCATGGAGTTGCTCATGGTTCCTTGCTTCATGAGATTCTCGGAAAGCAGACAAAACAGCTGAATAGGTGAACTCATCTGGTCTTTCATCGAAACAAACCATGCCGCGGAAGAGCCTCATTGCATCTTCAGAACAGCTGTACAGACCATAACCTGCAATCATCTCGTTCCAAGTCACAATGTTTCTGAACTTGAGGTTACAGAAGAAGCCATGTGCGCCGTTGAGTAATCCACATCTCGAAAGCATGTTGATAACTGCATTTGCTACAAGAACATCGTCGGAGTAGCCATGACGATAGGAAAGGCTGAATACCTGAAGACCAAGTGAGGCGTTCTCTTTAGCACCACTCAGCCTCAGCATGATAGAGAAAGTGACTTCATTAGGCTTAGAACCCGATAGCGGCATATCAGCAAAGCAGCATGCAGCTGCTCTATCGTCTTCATCATGCGCGAAACGGGATATCAGTGTGTTCCAAGAAATCGTGTCCTTTTGCCGGATCCTACCAAAAGCAGCCATGGCAATGTCCGTCAGCCCGGAGCTCAAATACATATCGACAAGCGCATTCATCACGGAGGCATCGGACTCAAACATGTTATGGATGACACATCCATGAAGCCGTCGTCCAAAATCCAACTCCCCCGTGATGGAACATGCCTTGAGAGCTGAAACGTAGGTGAACATGTCAGCTTGTAGCCCACATTGATGCATCAGAGCCGCTGCCCTCATCGCGCCATATCCACAGCCATTGGAGACATAGCCATCCAGCATCGCGTTCCAGCACGTCAAGTCTTTGCACCGGACGTCCGCAAATGCGCGCTCCGCAGCAGCAACACGCCCATGTCTGGCATACATGAGCAGCAATGAGCTTCCCAGGAAAGGATCGGCATCCACGCCGACCTTGACCGCGACGCCATGGAGCGAGGCGCCGAACTGGAGCTTGGCACGGGCCGCGGACCGATCACAGGCAGCACGGAGCGCGCTGGCGAGAGAGAACTCGTTCGGGCAGAAGCCGCTCCTCAGCATGGAGACGAACAGCCGGATGCCCAGTTCGGCCGCGCCGCCGCGTGTCGAGGCGGACACCATGGCGGTCCAGGAAACCAGGTTCCTGTGCGGCATTTCGTCGAACACGGCCAGCGCGCCCCCGAGGAGCCCGCTTCTGGAGTAGGAGATGAGGAGGTGGTTCGTGGTGAAGGTGTCGCCGGACATGCCGAGCTTGAGGACCTGCGCGTGGAGGTGCGACGGTGGCCTAGAGGAGCGGGAGGCTGCGGAGAGCGCATTGGTGAGGGCGAGGGGGTCAGGCGATTTGGGCCCGGGGAAGAAGGTGGAGGAACCCCTCGCTTGGGGAAGTAGTGCTGATGCTCTCATCAGTCTTTTGGAACATTGGAGTTTGCAATCACTTAGCAAATAGCCCTCTTATCTTTCTGAGATGGTTGATTTTATATTTCTCTGCTGGGTTGTGCAAATAATGCATGTACTCCAGAATGTGGACTTGTTTGTAACTAATATGAGTGCTACTTCCATCATAATGTATGATGATCTAAACGCTCTTACTTTACGGGAGGGTTAATTTTTATGCCATTATTTGTTATGATTTTCCATGTAAGTACCTCCAACTCAGATTGAACAAGTATTTTTCTCAAATATTCCTTTTATTCTTTTCTCAAGATGGTTTTGTGTGGCAATGCGTGTCTTCATATTCTAGTGATAGTGGTATGTTAGCATCGGATTGACAACTTCTGGACCGACTATCCACAATGAAATCATGGATTTTACCTAGTTGGTCGAATTTGATGAATGCAATGTTTCTGTTATTTAAGTGTTACAGTGGAGCAACAGTAATATGTGATATGAAATCATCGATTTTACCTTAGTTGCATGAATTTGATGAATTTGATGAATTTGATGAATGCAATGCTGTCTCTAGTAGGTATCTCTTTGATGACTAGGATCCTTCATACCTTTATGACGGCATAGTTATTGTTGCATGTACACATTTCTTGGTAGCTTTTGATAAAGGTGCCATGAGAGATTGACATTGTTATTATATTGTCTTCATGGCCTTGCATGATGCACCTTTTTCTTCTTTATTTGCCGGAGTTTTTCAGTAGTCAGAAGATAATAAAATGGAGCTATCTAGGAGCCACCACACCAATTTGAGGTAGACCGTGTTATTTGTGCATCCACGATTGGTGAAGAACATGTTGTAAAGCGTCCGCCTAATGTATATCTTTTCTTTACCTAATAATAAAGCAAATTGGGTTTTTTTGTCCGTCATGTCATTTTTCAGAAAAGTCCCTCTATTTCTGAGAATTTAACCCGCAGTCCTGTTTTAAGTTAAAACGAATCGTTATATTTGTATTTTACACAAAAGTCCCTGTCTTTTCTTGAAATCAACCCGCCGTTCGAATCTAAGTCACACTCGAACCGTTATTTTATATTTTTTGAACCCCCTGATGTTTTAGATAATTCATCCCTGGATCATATTTAAGTCAAACAAATGCTTTTTAAAACCATCCATATCTTTTAAACCGTAACTCCGATTTGAAAATGTTATATATGAAATTTGATTAGAAAAATATGTAGAATATGAATATGAGATTATTTTTACCTGTTAAGTATTTTTAAATATTATTTTGGAATATATTTGAGTCAAATCAAATGATTTTCTAAATTATCTATATCTTTTAAACTGTAACTTCGATTTTAACATACTATATATGAAATTTTATTAGAAAAATGTGTGGAATCTAAATATGATGTTAATTTTACTTGTTAAATATTTTTAAAATATTGTTACGGAAGCAAACTTATAATTTATAACGCAAGATTCATTTTTTTCATACCGGCGGCGATCCAGATTGCAAAAAAACACCCCACTATAACCATATAGGGAAAAGAAAACATCGATAACTACACATGCATACCTCTGAAAAATATCGCAAGGGAAAACAACAGATTTCTCATCGCGAGAGTGAGAGTGAGAGAGAGAGAGGGAGGGAGAGGGAGAGGGAGAGGGAGAGAGAGACGCCTTAGGATTAACCATATTCAACACATGTTTTTTTTGTTGTTTTGTGTGAACACCGAGGCCATCGCCGGTGAGGGTGAGAAGGAGGATAAGCGGCAACACAAATATGACGCCTCACAAAAATAAAGGAGATGGATCTATTGTGGTCTTAGGTGATGGTTGTTGAGTTAAGAGCGTGTGTTATGTTTTCTCTCCCATTGCAACACATGGGCTCTTTTGCTAGTCAATGTAAAAAGACATGAAAGGGGTAGTTCAAATTGATCTCGACCATTATCAACCCAATGAGCTAGATTGTTTCGACATTGAGGGCTCAACATGTTTGTCTTGCAATTAGTTTGTACCTAATATTAAGTTGAACACTAACCATGATCACCGGTGGAGTTGCGTTAGGGCGAAACTGTGACGCGGCCCGCCCAGTCCAAAGCATTTGCATGAGTAAAAGAGTAGTCCAGTGAGTAAAACGGTGCCTATGTATGACTCAAAGCCCATTCTGGCCCGCCCTGGCATTTTGTTGTATCTCCGCCACTGGCCATGATACCATTAACTTTGCGAAATTTAACAAAGGTTTTCTTGTGGAACTTTACCTAAGTTTATATCTCCACGTTACCATTGTTTTTTACAAATTTGGTTAAACTTTATAAAATTTGATTCAAAACGAAAAAAATGTATGCGGAGTAAATAAAAACAAAGGAAGTATGTAGTGTTGTGCAATCCAAAAGTAGTGGGATCTTTAACCGATCGTGAATCAACGAGTCTGCATACATAATTAACAATTGTGTCACCTTCCTCCCCGCCTTTTCATTTGAGCACGCCAATGCCTCTCTGCCTTGATGAACATGATTATATTGCGCATTTTTTTAAAGCTTAGATTGCTTTGTTCTGCCGTGGGAAGGTGGAATGCCACCGCCACCGCCACCACCACCTTCCTCGTTGCTTCCCTCGCCATCAGAAAACACACCCAGAGCGATCCCATGGCTGAGCATGGATATACAAGAATCAAGGTAGCAGGCTAAAAGGCAAAATCCTGTTTCGCCGCGCGTGCCACAAACTTTGACCTTGCCAGGGAGAAACTTGGGCGCCACACTGCCTGGACGCCTATTTATTTATCCATCCTTGGAACATCTGGAACACCAAAGAAACCAAGAACAGAGCTGAAACATGGAGACCACGGTCCCCGCGGCGACAGCCACCACCAGCTCGAGCGTCGGCCACGGAGCCGGCGACGGTGCTGATGCTCTCATCAGTCTTTTGGAACATTGGAGTTTGCAATCACTTAGCAAATAGTCCTCTTATCTTTCTGAGATGGTTGATTTTATATTTCTTTGCTGGGTTGTGCAAATAATGCATGTACTCCAGAATGTGGACTCGTTTGTAACCAATATGAGTGCTACTCCCATCATAATGATCTGAACGCTCTTACTTTACGGGGGGATTAATTTTTATGCCATTATTTGTTATGATCTTCCATGTAAGTACCTCCAACTCAGATTGAACAAATATTTTTCTCAAATATTCCTTTTATTCTTTTCTCAAGATGGTTTTGTGTGGCAATGTGTGTCTTCATATTCTAGTGATAGTGGTATGTTAGCATCGGATTGACAACTTCTGGACCGGCTATCCAAAATGAATTCATGGATTTTACCTAGTTGCTCGAATTTGATGAATGCAATGTTTCTGTTATTTAAGCGTTACAGTGGAGCAACAGTAATATGTGATATGAAATCATGGATTGTACCTTAGTTGCTTGAATTGGATGAATGCAATCCTGTCTTTGGTAGGCATCTCTTTGATGACTAGGATCCTTCATACCTTTATGACGGCATAGTTGTTGTTGCATGTACACATTTCTTGGTAGCTTCTAATAAAGGTGCCATGAGAGATTGACATTGTTATTATATTGTCTTCATCGCCTTGCATGATGCACCTTTTTCTTCTTAGTTTGCCAGAGTTTTTCAGTAGTCAGAAGATAATAAAATGGAGCTATCTAGGAGCCACCACACCAATTTGAGGTAGATTGTGTTATTTGTGCATCCACGATTGATGAAGAACATGTTGTAAAGCTTCCGCTTAATGTATATCAATGTAAAAAGTGTTAGATTGGATTGGTGAAGCGTTCCTACTCCTCCGTAGAGGAGCCGCGGGTATATATTGATTCGGGGCAGGAACAACCCCTGCCGTGGTTTACAAGGAATCCACCGATCGCTAGGATTCGGCGGGGTGAGGGATAGGAAGTTAAATGGGAGAGGATAGAGGAAGTAGTTAAGATTACATGAACGTAAATATCTCTAAGTCTAACACCCTCCCTTAATCTGAACTACCTATCCTAGATTGAGATTGTTCTTGAATGCTTCAAATGGCTTGTATGGTAGAGCTTTAGTGAACCCATCAGCCACTTGATCTCTGGAAGGAATAAACCGTATCTCCAACTTCTTCTCTGCAACTCTTTCTCGTATAAAGTGAAAATCTATCTCAATATGCTTGGTTCTGGCATGAAAAACAGGATTAACACTTAAATAAGTGGCACCCAGTTATCACACCATAGGCATGAAATACGATGTTGCTTCACACCCAATTCATCAAGCAAAGATTCAAGCCAAATAATTTCAGCAGTAGCATTTGCCAATGATTTGTACTCAGCTTCAGTACTTGACCTTGACACTGTTGCTTGTTTCTTGGCACTCCATGAAATAAGATTAGAACCAAAGAAAACAGCAAAACCACCTGTTGATTTTCTATCATCACTGTAGCCTGCCCAATCTACGTCAGAAAAAGCACTGACAAGTGTAGAATTGGAACGTCTGAAATGTAGTCCCAAACCCACAGTGTGCTTAACATACCATATGATCCTTTTGACAGCTGTCCAATGAGCAGAAGTAGGAGCATGCAAGTATTGACATACTTTGTTAACAACAAATGAAATATCTGGTCGTGTCAAGGTTAAATATCGCAAGGCTCCAACAACACTTCTGTATCTAGTGCTTTCTACCTCCTTAAGTGGCTCCCCTTCATATGCTGACAATTGTTCTGATGAAGATAATGGTGTGGGTGAAGACTTACAATCCTTCATCCGCATCCGAGCCAAGAGTTCAGTGGCATATTTTTCCTATTTCAACACTATACCATCCTGAACCTTCTTAACTTCAATGCCTAAAAAGAAACTCAAATCACCAATATCCTTTAAGGCAAATTCTGAGCTTAGATCATGCAGGAGAGCATCAGTAGCATTCTGAGAAGAGCTTGCAACTATAACATCATCAACATATATGAGCACAAAAATAACAGTATTTGCTTTATTGTATATGAAGAGAGATGTGTCGGCCTTTGATGCAATAAACCCAAG